AACGATTGCAAACAATGTTCTGGAACACCAAATACGGTGGATTGTTTTTTGAGTTTAGTGCAGCATTACACGTGTAGGATCGATATGGATCGCGCAAAAATTTCCCTTATGGCTTAACAATTGATTCAATCACAAAAGTACAAGTCCAAACGTATTGCTTGAGATTGACGTCTTTGTTGCAGTTTGATTTCGTGACTTTTACTGTTACATTTTCCCCGCCATCTTGAATACCGCGTAGAGAGTTGGGGTAGCAAACATGTCACATGGTAAGCTTCGATAGATGGGATTGGCTAATTCGTAGAACATTGGGATGTGGCGGTTTCCTCAAATGTCGCGTTAATCGTCGTGCTCGCTTCGTGGTCGCGATTCTCACCGGCGCGAGAACATTTTCTCGCTATTTGGTACGTTTCTCGGTAACGATGGCGGCCGAAACTAGTCCTTTGAAGGTAAAGATTATTTTATCTAAAACATGGCGATATTTTGGGGCATAGAAGACGGTATCACTACCATGTAAGAGTAATCGCAGATGAGACACTGCATGTTCGATGTCGTGGTACTAAGTTGTATTGGAAGAATCCAAATTTTTGAATTTCGAACCAAACTTTCATCTTATGGGTGTACTTCTCATGCCGCATCTAAAATGTAATCAAGGATAAAGGTATTTACGGCAACAGAAGAATATATTATGGTAACTTACGCGATTAACATACTTTCAATTTCCCGCCTTTATAACGTGGACACATTTGGCTTTCCAATAAAATAAATATAAATAAATAAATCGTTCATCTTGATGTGGAAAGTGGATTGAGTAAGAAAATCTCTGAATCCAATGTAACACTACATCAGCAGCTAAAAATTGTTGAATTGTATTTTTGTACAGGAGATCATGAATAATGGAGAAAATACCAAGAGCAATGCTTTTGCTGCAAAGAAGAAAAAACGACTGTCAGTTGAGCGGATCTACCAAAAGAAGACACAGTTGGAACACATTCTTCTCCGTCCAGACACTTACATTGGCTCTGTTGAGCCAATCAAACAGAACATGTGGGTTTATGATGCAGAGACTGATGCCATTGTGAGTAAGGAAATCACTTATACGCCTGGTCTCTACAAGATCTTTGATGAACTTTTAGGTGAGCAGATTGGATTCATGTTTTTCCATTACTTGTAGCTTAGTTTTACTTTAAGGACTGACGATCGAAACATTGTTCAGCTTAAGTAATTCTTTAAAGTGGCTAATTTACGTTATTAAGTCAGTTGATAAAACCAAATTATCTTTTAAACTTTTCATCTTTGGTTTGTTAAAAAAAGGAAAAAAAACTTTTTAAAAAAATTCCTGACCAAGACCATATATTTAAGAATTATGGAAAATAGTGAGTTTATGATATTCAGTAAGGTGTGTGAATGTGCAAGTCATGTAATAATTGTGTGTTATGTTTCTTTCAATTTTGAAGTGAATGCAGCAGATAACAAGCAGAGAGACCCTGCCATGGGCTGTGTTAAAATAACCATTGATGCGTGAGTGACATATTAACAAAACAAACTATTTTTTAACAGTGACCCCATCATATGATTGAAATGAGAGTTGACAGGTTCACTTACTTGAAAGTTGTCATTTCCTTGCTTTCCAGCCCCTTACTGTCCTGTTGTAAAGGATTAATTTTCAAGTAATGCTATCCTGATAGGTTTTTATTGTGCATACAATGTACCTGTTAATTATGAGGGTAATGTGTGACAGCTGGTTGGCACATCATAAATTGAACAAAGCCTATAGTTGGTATCCAAATTGCTCATTGGGTAATGAAAACTCTGCAATTGAACATAGTTTTATTCATGTTTTAAAGACCGGTAACTGTGAAAGAATTTCATTTAATCCATATTTGATCATGTAGACAGTTCTTATATAAATGGAAACAATGACAGAAACTTTAGATTGCCTTTGGGACTACAGCTTTGTTGTCAAATGGTATGGGATTATCTAGAAATTTTTCCAGATGCATGCATGAAAATGCAATATAGGAGTTAGCCTCTGCCATATAGAGATGCATCTTTCTTTTCCAAAGTACTATTAATAGTAACTCGGAAACATTGGAAATAAGCTGGTAAAATACAAGTATTATGTGTTAAACTTAAATATGCTATTTCCTCTGTTTAAATTTCAGAGATAGTAACACTATCAGTGTTTGGAATGATGGACGTGGTATTCCTGTGGAGATGCATAAAGAACAGAAAGTTTATGTTCCTACATTGATATTTGGCCATCTTCTAACGTCCAGTAACTACAATGATGAGGAGAAAAAAGTCACAGGCGGCAGGAATGGTTATGGTGCAAAACTTTGTAATATCTTCAGCACAAAATTTGTTGTGGAAACTTGTTCCTCTGACTCAAATAAGAAGTTCAAACAGGTACATTTTGTTCTTGAAAACATGCTAGATCTTCATGATCCTTAAAGTTAATGAGAGAATCCTGAAAAAATTTCCATGTTGTGTAAACATCAAGTATACATTATAACAGGAAGAGGCAATTAAGTTAATGAAAATCAAAAAGAAAAGGAAAATGATTATTCATTTAAATGACTGCTTATGCTCATAGAGTATTAGTGTATAGTAGCAGAGTGTGGTTAAGTATAGTAATAGTATAGTTCATTTTAAACTTTTAGAAATACTATACCTGAATAATTTTTTTCTTGTCACCTAACACAATTCAACTTGTTCCTTTTCTTGTATGTAGACCTGGACAAACAACATGGGAAAAGTTACAGAGCCTATTGTAAAGGATTTTAGTGGAAAGGACTTCACTTGTGTTACATTCAAACCTGACCTGGCAAAGTTTAAAATGGAAAGTCTTGATAAAGACATTATCTCACTCCTCTCCAGGAGGGCATATGATGTTGCTGGATCTGTTAGAGGAATTTCTGTATATCTCAATGGAAAGAAGTTACCTGTATGTAATTTGTTGGCAATATTCATGTTATAAATTGCTCAATTCATTAAGCACCTTCATAAACAAGTTGTAGCTAAGTTATATGGTGCAACTACTTGTTTTTGTTCAGAGCAGAGATAATGCATTTTATTTTCTGGGTTATGAAATTTTGATTGAAAATCCATTACTTAACAGAAAAATCTCTGTAGTAATGATAAGTCAGTAGTACATGTATCTCTTGTACATCAGGTAATGGGGAAAAACCATCATGGACTTCACAAATCTTTCTCAGACCCTCTCTTTCTGTGCCATAGGAGTATGAATTATTGTCTTATTCAGAAATCTGTGTCCAGTTGGTGAAGCTTCATACAAGCCACAGGGTTGTAACTAAGAAATTTTGCTGCTGGCTGAAATTTCAAGTGAGGCAGCTCATCAATAGCATTCAGTATTGATTAATTGTAAGTGTCTGACCTCAGAAGTGCCTGTTGTGTTTTACTAAGTGATTGCCAGCCAAAAATCCAGCCAGTGATAGTTGCTTATTCTTGTGGCAGCCAGCACTTAGCAACAACCTTGCACTCAAACATCAGAAGTAGAATCTACATTTATAAATGATGCATTGTCTTATACCCTTTGTGTTGTTTAGCATTCATGAGTAGGTTAAAATCAATTTGCGATTTATTTTTCATGAAAAAATTTATTTTTAATGGTCAACAGATTAAGACTTTCAAGGATTATGTTGGACTGTACTTGAAAGCCAGAGATGATGAAGATGACTTGGCATTGGGTAGTGACTCAGAGAAAAAGACCAATTCTGTCGTGCATGAAGTTGTAAATAAGCGTTGGGAAGTGTGTGTTACCACAAGCACCAAAGGTTTTCAGCAAGCTAGCTTTGTCAACAGCATAGCCACAACTAAGGTATAGTCAAGCCAAGTTCTCTAAAACTGCTTTAAAGCTGTGAAACATCAACTGTCTAACAGTTTTTGTCAAAACAGTTCAACATACAGTATTTCATTTAAAATTTTCTGACCTTTGCAAAGTGAACAATCATTCTTTTTAATCACCTTACTGACTTAAAAATTTTTTTCTGCACCCTAATTTTCTGACTTTGGAAAATTCATGAAAAGGTGAGGTGAATAAGGAGAGTGGTGAATGTAACATTGTATGGAAATTAAGTAGAGCATTAAGAAAAAATCTTGGATGAAAACAATTCGGCAAGACTACTTGAAATAAGGTGTTATAAAGGTAGCCACAAAATAGAGCAGTAATCTTGTTGGCAGTCAAGAGGTTACTACTGACAACTGAAGAACAGCCCACCTGTAGGCACAGTTCAACACAACTCTAAAAAGGGGAATAAATGCTTACCAAAGGTTGGGGGTATGGGTGGGGGGTGGTGGAGAGGCATAGAGGAAAACAGCAAGCACAAAAGTAAGCAAAGTAA